GCGGCGAGTGGTGGGGAGGGAACTCGGTTGAGGGCGGTGGCGGCTGACGGTCGGGGGATCTGGCGTGGCGTGGACGGCTGACGGTCGGGGGCGTCGAGGGCTGGCGCGGCTGGACGGCTGACGGTCGGGAAATCTAGCGTGGCGTGGGCTAACACTGGCGGCGGCGGCGAGCGCTGGCGCAGCGCAACGAGGAGGACAGCGAGGGAAGGAGCTGCTGGACGGCTGACGGGGGTTAAGGGATGGCGAGTGAACTGATTTCGATTTTAAGTTGTGAGACTGAGATCCCGATTTTTATTAAAAATCTGCGACGGAACATTGCCCGTAGCAGATTTCGTTGCAGATCTGCGACGGAATAATTCAACAGTCGTAGATATTTTGTAAAAAATTTGACCAACTTGGTCGTCTCCAGATTTGCGACAGTACTCTATTTTCCGTTGCAGATCTGCGACGGAATATGAAATTCCGTCGCAGATTACTTTCATTTTTCATAAATAATTCATCCGTCGCAGATTCGTTGCAGATCCGCTACGGAAATAGGTCCGTAGCAGATTTCCGTTGCAGACCAGACAAATTCTTGTAGTGAAAGCTAAAGTGGCTGAGGGATTTCTCAAAGCTTTCAACACGGGGAGAACTCCTCCTCCCTCACACTTAGCTTATGCAGATGATATCATTTTTTTCCTTAATGGCCATTACAGGAATTTATTAAAATTTAAGGGACTTCTGGGTAAGTTCCTTGAAGCATCTGGACACCAAATTAATCTCAACAAGAGTCTCTTTTACACTGGAACTAAGGTTCAGCTTGCTATCAAGGGCAATATGGGGAGGGCACTGGAGAAGGGAAACTCCCCATGCCTTACCTGGGAGCAACCATTGGCAAAGGAAAGATGAAAAAGGCACATTGCAAGAAAATTATCCTCCACTTTGACTGCTACCTTAATACTTGGTTTAGTAAGGTTCTAAATCAAATGGGAAGTTTGATCCTCATCAAACATGTGCTTAGTTCAATTCCTCTTCACATCCTGGCGGTCCAACAAATGCCCAAATCTGTCATGGACATCCTAAACAAGAAAATGCAGAACTTCTTTTGGGGCTACAAGGACGGGAAACCCAAATATCACTGGAAAAACTGGAAAAGTATGTGCTACCCCACCATTGAAGGAGGGGTTGGAATTAGGCATCTCAAGGATATAGAGGCAGCATACTCCTCAAAACTTTGGTGGAAGCTTCGTAATAATGGAGGTTTATGGGGAGAATACATGAGTCACAAGTACTGTACACAAACCTTTTGTGAAAGACCTACGGACTCAATTACTTGGAAGAGAGTTTCTAGAATTCACAATTGGGCATTGCAACATGTTGATAACTCTGAGGGTGCAGATACATGGGAAGGAGAGGATTTCTCTACCAAAGCAGCATACAATGCCTGGAGAGACTCTAAGCCTCTCTCAATCTCTTGCAAGATGATTTGGGATAAAACCCAAATACCTAAGATCAAACTCTTCCTTTGGAAAACCTTCAACAATCTTCTTCCTTTCCCAAATAATTTGTCTAGATTTAACATGGCATTACCATCAAGGTGCAACTTCTGCACGCAAGGCACTGAAGACTCAAACCACACTCTCTACCAATGTCAATATTCACTGAAAATATGGAAATTCTTCTCCACACTCTTCCAGGGCCCTATCATCCGCAGAAACTCCACATTACATGAAGCTTGTATGAACTGGTGGCTGGTCACCTGTCGAAACTCCATGCAGGAGAAGCTCACGGCCAACCTCCCAGGGTTCATTGCATGGGGTCTGTGGAAGGCATATAATGCAAAGAAATATGAAGGAGAGGCTTTTAAGGAAAGCAGGATCATATATAATATTATGACAATGATTCAACAATGGTGCTGGGCTCATCATGGAAAGAAATGGATGATTATGGATGAAGAAATGAGGAATATAGGCTTTCAGCCATGGACTCGTCGAAGATTATTATTCTAATTGCCTCATTTTGTTCTGCATTGTTGTATTTTGGGCTGGGTTTTACCCCACACGCACTTATTTGTATATCTATCTTCTTTATATTAATAAAATATCCTTTAATTTATATATATATATATATATATATATATATATATATTAATAAAATATCCTTTAATAAAATATCCTTTAATTTATATATATATATATATATCTTCTTTATATTAATAAAATATCCTTTAATTTATATATATATATATATATATATATATATATATATATATATATATATATATACACACCCAACTACGGTAACAACGAATACAACTACGTTTGTTTTGTTCTCTTAATACTTTACATCAAATATTTTATATTCTTCTTCTATTTACAACTACGTTAACAACCAATACGTAGTTACTCACACATCTCGAACATATCCTTCTTCTATTTACAACTATTTGGTCAACTTGTTTAGTAGCGTATGCACTTGTGGGCAGTGGACTTTCGATACTATACCTTGTGTTCATGTTCATGCTGTTTACCACTATTTTCGACAACAAATTCCTCACAACATATTGCCGGCTAGGTACTCGGTTCAAAACTATTTGAGTTGCTAGCTATAATGGTATAATTCAACCTGATCTTTTCCCTCAAATTTTAGATGTTGGTAGCTTTAAAGTTTTACCTCCAAAACGGCCAGCAAACGAGATTCCACATTTAGGGAGACGTCAGCGCAATTAATACCAGGGCGAGATAGATTTCAAGGCAAGGAGATGATTGTAGTTTAATACTCCCTCCGTCCGGGATTAATCTTCCCATTTGGACTTTTTCTCATTTTTTTGGAGTGTTGACTTTGGAAGTAAAATGTCTAATATACCCTTCATTTCTTTTATATTTTACACTTACAGCCCCAACACTGCCGAGGCTAGCACCCACTGCCCCCCAATCATTGCCGGCGATTGACCCACCCCCAATCATCGCCGGCGATTGACCCAGCCCCAATCATCGCCGGCAATTGACCCAGCCCCCACCGTTCTCGCCTTAACCCTCAACACCATCGCCCCTCAACCCTCACCACCGTCGCGCCGTCGTCTATAGCCGCCACCATCTCTACTTCTTGGAGACAGAGAAAAGGGAACAGATCTACTGTAGATCTGCGAGAAAGGGAAGAGAAGAATTGGAAAAAGAGAACAAGAAGAACCGTAGATCTGCGAGAGAGGGAAGAGAAGAATTGGAAAAAGAGAAGAAGAAGAAGAAGAAGAAGAAGAAGAAGAAGAAGAATTGGAGAAGAAGAAGAAGAAGAAGAAGAAGAAGAAGAAGAAAGAACAGGGGTGAGAAGAAGAATAAGGGGAAAATAAGAAGAAAAAGAGAAGAGGTTAGAGAGAAAGAGGGGCTGATGAGGATGAACGAATGAAGAAATGGAGAAGATGGAGGAGAGAAGGAGAAAAAGATAAGGTGTGAGTGGAGAGGAAATGAGGGAGGGGAGACAAAGGGGAGAGGAGAGAGATAGAGTGAAAATGGTAAGTGGGGGTATTTTGGGTAGTTAGTGTATCAAAAATTGAAATGGGAAGATTATTTCCGGACGGAGAAAAAGGAGAAACGGGAAGATTATTTCCGGACGGAGGGAATATTATTTTGTTTGTATCAGTCAATGTATTGTAATTCTTGTTTACTTGAGATTTTGAAAACATAATTTTCTGTTGATGTTTTAAATATATTTCTGTTTTCAAAATAGCCTAATATTTGTTTAAAAACAGGTTTCTCAAAATTATTTATATTTTTTGTTTAAATTTGGATTTTTCCAATCCTTTTTTAAATGATTTATTTTTCTTTTTCTTAATGAACATTTTTTTTATTAAATTTCCGTTGCTTCAGATTTTTTTCAAACAAATTAAATACGGCATCATAAAAGCTAATTTAAAAAAAAATTTAAACCAGCTTCATAAAAGCAATTTTTTTTTGGATTATTGAGAACGGATTTATGAAAGCCGAATTTTTTTAAAAATTTTATATGATAAATAAAATATGCGGGAATTAATTTTTTTTTTAAATTTTTTTAGAAATTTAAAAAACAGCTTTATAAATTTTTTAAAAATTTTATAATTAAAATCTGCGGGAATTAATTCCAAAACTGAATCGAACTACGGAAATAGATGAAATTAAAGTAACTTCAAAACTTAAAAATGATAAGACGTTAGTCAAGTACATCACTTGGAATCCGTACTCAACCATATCCAGCGAGACTCTTTTATAGAATTGAAAAACTTGGCGATCAGACATGAACTTTCGTGTATGAACATTCGTGTGTCAGGCATAGAAACGAGCATTGCTTAACGACACAAGAGTTCGCGCATATTTACTTTCGGTATTTGGTTCGATTTTGACGTTTATCCGTACGTCTGAATATGTAAGATTTTGTACTTCGTTCACGGAAACTTGAAAGATTTTCATAAAGCATTAATGTCTAAAATAAAAAATTTCCAAGCTCTGACGCGACCCCGGCCAGGGGCTTTGGCCCTCAGACCCCGCTGCCCTAATGCTGGTTACTTTAGTGTGGGTGAATCAGCTTCGGACTTAACTTACATGGAACCATTTCTGCTAACATGGCATCTGAAAGTAATTAGTTGGCAATAAATCTAAAGTAATAGAATTCATTTGAACTTTTTTTAATAACTCACTATAGTCCAAATGATGCCCGATTTAATCCCATTACTTTATTAAGTTATTCATAAAATCTAAAATGACATCCAATTAAATTTAACTATTTTAGATGAGTTGCCAAACAATTATTTCAGTTGTCATATCACTTGAAACAATTCCATGTACTTAGTCCTAAAACACGGTGAGCTACACTAGCAATATAAAATTCAGTGATTTCTTGAAATACTGGAATTTAAAAATGAATCTGTGAATAATATTGTATAATCAACTAAATCCGAGAGTACTAGTGTAAAATTTTTCCTTTTTAAAAAGATTTTTTTAGGAAGTAGACAACTAAATCGGGTCATCCATGACATTGCTTAGCAATATCAAGGGAACCGGGTGATATTAGTATGACAAACAAATGAAAAGGAGACGCATCTAATAAGTTTCTTATGCAGGTGAAAATGATTATGGAAACAAATAATCTTGTTGTTCCCGGCCCTGCACTTTTCAGACCTGGGCGCGTCTAGACATGAAGATAGAAATTCCTTTGCCAAATGAGCACTCAAGAATGGAAATTCTTAAAAATACACATGCTGCTGGAATTGCTAAACTTGGTGAAATTGATCATGAAGCTCTTGTTAAGCTCGCAGAATTAAGGGTCAACAATCTATGATGTTTTATGCTTTTATTTCCTCATTTTTATGTAATTAATTGTCTTTATGTTGTCTTGGGTTCAATGAAGCTTGAACCTAGTTCTCAGTTCTCTTACTACAATTCAGATTTTGACAGACTAGTTGTAGACAAAAGTTCTTGTAGAGGTCACATGGAATTGGAGATGTGATTGATCTAGAAATTAAAATTTAACCATTTTTTTTAAAAAAAAAATTAATTTACACGGATCGGAGTAGCGAACAAATAAATATTTGAAATAAAGCTTCATTTCGAATATAAAATGAAGCTTCATTCCAAATATACCGAACACTTAAATGAACATCAATTCTTTGAAATGAAGCTGCTACTTGTTCTTTTTTGGTTTTCTTTTGGACAATTTGTAGGCCATCATTCTTAGAATCTTGAAGAACCAAAACACACTGACAACTAGCAACCCAACAGCCATTGCCTGCAAATGTCAACCAATTTCAGATTGTAGTGTGTTTAAGTACTATAATAATTGAATTTAGGATTGTGTTAAGTCTCTCTCAATACCATGAAAGTGCAATAACTATACCTGGATTAGGATGGGATTATCGGCCGATAGAGTGGCATAAACAAGGTAGGATCCGACAATCATCCTCGCAAAAGAGAAAATGACTGCGAAACATATCTGTGGGGAAAACAAATATGTATTCCAAACTCAAACTTTGAGAAAAAAAAAGTGGTATGGTTTTGTTTGGACAATAAATATATATATATATATATATATATATATATATATATATATATATATATATATATATATATATAAATCAAGCAAAATATGATAGTCTTTTCTGAAATGTGAGTAAAAAAAGCCAAAGAAATGAACTCACATCTGCAGCAAGGTTAAGGTAGGTGTCTCTATATCCCAACTCTTTGAGAAACTCTCTCATGTGGAGGAAAGGGCTAGAAGCTTCTGTGACCCACAATGCTGCGACCATTTCTGATCCACACTGAAAATTTCATTTACTAATAATTCAATGACCACCAAATACGAAATAATAAAATGGATAATGCTAAAAGCCTACCACTCACGCTCTGACATGTGACAATACAGGTGCTTTTAAACTTGCATATACAATAATCTTCTGTGTTGTTTACAGATGATTATTGTCTGTATAGGTGTAAAATTGTCTTTAATTTCATGCATGGGCGTGGGTGGGGCTCTGTAGCAGTGAGATACACTGAGCATTGAATTAAATTTGGATCATGCTAGAACCTTCTACGGATGACAATCATTTGTAATCACATACTATTATTGTGTGTGTATGATTGTCAAGCATGGAGGCAGTTGTGGTGGGTAAATAATATTTTTTTTTTTATTAAATTTACCCTTCGATAGGCAAGTCCGGCTCCAATCCCCACAATGCTGACCAAATGGTGGGCCAAATCATCCGCCTTTAACTGATTATGAGATAAACAACATCCCAAGTCATAGATCATGTACCCCACCGTGATCGCTAAAATCCGCATCTGCATTTGTTGCCCGCCGAACAGGTCCCAAGTCAAACTTTAAGCCGGACCAAACATTTTCAACCACATATTTAAAAAAAAATTGACAACATGTTTTTTTAAACTTTTTTAAATATTTTTCTTTAAATTTTATGAAGTCAAAGTTTCAAGTTCAATTTGAGAAAGAAAAAAGTGCAAAGTTTTTTTTTACAATTGAACTAGATATTTCGTATTTTTATTTTTGAAAGTATAAATTTATTCTAAGTTGGGCTACTCAAATACTCCTCTCTTCTCAAATTAAATGTTACGGAGTACAAATTGATTGTAATTAAAATGTATTTTCCTCAAATTTTAAAAAATACTCCTCTCGCCTCAAATTTAAATGTAACTATTTGACCTTTAATTATTTATAAATTGTAAAAATTTACTCCATATAATATCAAATTATTTTTGACAAATTTATTTTATGATGAACTTTTGAATAAATTCTATTAATAATTTCTAACTACATGTGATTTACCATATTTAACCCTTAATTATAAAATGTCACATGAGTAGTGATCAATTTTTGAAAATTATTTTATAATAGGTCCTTTGTAGACTATACGTGGAAAAAATATTATGGACTACCAGTTTTGGGTTAAAAGATTATTTATGGAATAATTTTCAAAAAAGGAGAGCTATGTATGTAAAACTAAAGATTAATTATGGAAAACACTTATAATTAGGGACCTTTTATAAAATTTATTCTGAACTTGTAAATATTAAATTTTCATATCATAAAACGTTACAATATACGTAGTAATGTATGAAATATGAATATCAATCAAACTTGAAAAGATGTAGCTGCGAATGAAGACAATCCGTCACTTTTGAGGCATAGAGAGTAATTAAAATGGGAAGAAATGAATAAAACATTACACATATACCAAAAAAACTAATACTCCGTATTCAATATTTAATACCAAAATAAAAGTTAAAGTGTTAAATGATATCAAAGCATATTACCACAAAACATCATGATTCATGAGATTCGAAGTACTAAATTACAATGTCATATTGTAGTATTTTAAAGTACCAAAACTCTTATTTACGGGATATGTTATAGAAATATAGGATGTCTTCTTTTTGTATCGATTTTATGTTTGGGGATTATTATAACTTTTCATTTCAAAAGACGTGAAAAATTTTATCTCTCTTTTAAAATTATTTTATTTACAAATTAGAATAGTAAAAAATATAAATTTCATATTTCTAAAGTATATAAAAAATTCTATATATGACGAGAACTTATTATTTAATTAAATTAACAATGAAGAGATATAAATAAACAAAATTTGTTTGAGAACCCAAAATCACAATTGGAAATGAAATTTATGTCTAGAGGGGTGAGTGAAATACTAGTACTCCGTATACAAAGGCGGCGAACCTGGTGAGGGGTAGATATGGAGGCGAGGGGGCAAACCGGGCAGGACCAGTCGCGAACAGAGAGGGAAGCCAGCGTGACGGCCAAGGAGGCGTGGACCACCGAAACGGTCCGGTTGCAGAAGTTGAAGGAGCGGCGGGGCAGAAGCTTTGTGCTCATCAAGAACAGTGTCGACCATGAAATCACACTCCACACCACTGTTTTTATCACGTAATCTTCCATCAAAAAATATGATGGTGGTGGTGGTGAACCACCCAATTCTGACATCCTCTCAGAATGTATGTATGTGTTTGTTTATGTATGTGCTGAAACCAAATGATTATATATATATATATATATATATATATATATATATATATATATATATATATATAAATCTTTACTATATGGAGTATTAAATTTTTATTTCATTTAATTCATAATAAATAGAGAAGTATTATATTGGAATATGATCGGGAGATAAAGAGTGTCAAAGAGATAATACCCGTATTCGATTCCTGCTAACTGCGCTGGAAGACAATTATGCTAAGCATAGGGCCTCTACAAATACTAAGTGAAAACATCACTCTTTATCACAAATCTGGAATCAAAGTTCAATTTACTTCCTTTCCATGACTGTCCGGCCGGGTGAGGGCGCGCTCAACTATAGGGCTCATCCTTTTGGAATGTGATTGGGGAGGAAGTTGGGCGTATTAATGAAGGTGTCAAGGTGATAGTTCAATTTCAACTAGACCTGACAAAAAGTGACCCGATCTGTTTTTGACCCGAAACCCGACCTGAAAACACTGGGTTTTGAACAAAAGTTTTGATGACCGAACCCGAAGTTGAACGAACCCGAAATGACCCGCTAAAAATGGGTCAAACCCGACCGAACCCGAACCCGACTTGACCGACCCGCTAAAGTAAGAATTTTTTAAAATTATACACTTTTTTACTCGTTTTTAGTGTATAAATTTATATTTTCAGACAAAATTTTAATAATATTGCATAATTATCTTACTTTCTTCCAAAACTTAAGCATTTTTAAATTCCTTATATTGATTTATATATCTAAAAACTACTTTAGAGTTTAAAATAAAATAATTTTATAGATTTAATACTTTTATTTGATAGTTTAAGTTTATTTAATAGAAAATGTAAGTGTTAATGTGAATTTAAAAATTTGAAAAACCAAAGTCATAACCCGTTGGGTCAACCCGAACCCGATGACACTGGGNTATATTTTCAGACAAAATTTTAATAATATTGCATAATTATCTTACTTTCTTCCAAAACTTAAGCATTTTTAAATTCCTTATATTGATTTATATATCTAAAAACTACTTTAGAGTTTAAAATAAAATAATTTTATAGATTTAATACTTTTATTTGATAGTTTAAGTTTATTTAATAGAAAATGTAAGTGTTAATGTGAATTTAAAAATTTGAAAAACCAAAGTCATAACCCGTTGGGTCAACCCGAACCCGATGACACTGGGTCATAAACATACAGTTATCAACCCGAACCAGAATTAATCCGAACCCAAAATAACCCGAACTTGAAGTGACCGAACCCGAACCCGACCTGACCGACCAATTTGCCAGCTCTAATTTCAACACACATTTGTGTCTCATTAATTTCTGTTTTTCTTTTTATAGAATCATAGAAGACTACTACTCGTCTACTCTCCCTCCAATTTGTCTTGAAGTTTAAGTTTTAACCTCTAGACGTTCAAAAATAAAGTTAGTATTCCTTCCATTTCAATTTACGGTGATTCTCCCCGTCTCAAAAAAACTTTTCTCATATCTATTACTACCTCCGTCCCTGCGTATTTGTCCAGTTTTGACTTTTTTCAGTCAACTGTTTTCAAACTTTAACCTATAATTAAATAAAATATATATTATATATTAATTAGATAAAATAATATTTTGAAAATATTTGATATAATAAATCTAATAAAACTATTTTTGTATCATTATTTAATATCATTTTTAATTAAATTGAGGTAGAATTTTACCAATTTTGACCGAAAAAAGTCAAAAGTGGACAAATACTCAGGGATGGAGGGAGTACTTCGTAAAATGTTACTTTTATCGCTACTAATTCTTAACCCACCTATCACATTACATATATTCACTATTAATCTATTTACCCCGGAGTATTAAATCTTATTCTTACCCATCATATCCAAAAACATTTTTGAAAACTCAACACCTAAATACACTTACTTTAAATTCCGTAAAAATCAAAATATCCCACGTTTCTAGGGACGGATCGAGGGAGAATATTTTTAAATTGGTGTACGTAGAATTATATATATATATATATATATTTGATGATTTTGTTTTATTAAATGATCAACGAGAACAAATAAAAAAGATATAGTTTTATCCTTTTGGGATTTTGTTTTATCAAATCATCATCAGTTGGATGTAAAAAGTTAAAATTTGACAAATAAAAAAATTGGTATGCACGGAGTATGTTTTTAAGATTACATTTTTTTATGTGGTTCATATAATGTTACACTTCTCTGTTGAAGTCTTAAAATATTAATTTCTTAAATTGAATGGACGTAAATGTCTAAATGAGATTTCAAGATGGAGGATTGGTTTCTTGATTTTATGAGTATAAAACTAAGAGCATAGGCAATGGCAAATCGTGTCCTGGATTGCCACACGGTGACGTGACACAATACAATCAATCAAAAAATGCAGTCACACAGTGGCATTCGATGGGAGTTGCATGTGCTGAAGTGACAAATATTGTTTTTCGTTAATTTTAACATTTTGTTATAATTTAATTAGTTCATGTGTGTTTGATTTTCATTTTCTATTAATATTTGTTTTTTCGTGTAATGATTTTAATTGTACAGAGAATTTTTTTTAAAAAAATTAGTTTAATTATCTTCTTAAATTGAATAATCTTGGATAAAAACTCTAAGTTTTAAAAAAATATGTATTTGTAATTTCAAAAAATATGTTAAATTGTTTTAAAAAAGAAAATAGATTGAAACGAAATAAACATAGATAAATAAAAAAGGTATTGGTATTTTTTATTCAGAAAAAAAGGTTAGATTTTTTTAAAAGTTGGATTCACAATCCACACATATACTGGTGCCTCGCCACATTCGATACAAGTCAATTATTGCGTCTCCAATTGTGTTCTCTTCCACTCCACTAATGGGCTAATGACAGGGCAAGGCAATGACTTGTCTTGCCATTGCCACTACAAGAAAACTGTCAATCTGCCACGGACAATTTCTGTTGCAGAATTTGAAATTCCGTGGCAGATTTAGAATCTGCGACAGATCTGCAACAAAAATATTCCGTTGCAGAAAACTTGTGGCAGATTTAAAATCTGCGACGGAACTGAAAATCCGTGGCAGATCTGCAACGGACCTGCAACGGATTCGTCTAATTTTGCAACCCAAAAAATCTGCAACGGAAGTCTATACACCGTTGCAGATCTGCAACAAAATCAGCAACGTACTACTCTGTCGTAGACCGCCTGATCGCAGCCACTAGTTTTTGCTATTTTTTGGCCGTAGCTATTAAAATTGGGGGCAAAACACATTCAATTTTCACACATAATTCTAAACAAGATATTAATACGAAATACATAATTCAAAACTAGATTAATCAAAACTTCACGTGCAAATGTAACATAATTCATAATATTGTAAAAACACTAAATATTAAAGTGTTAGTGTCAAATAATGTCAAAGGTGTCAACAAATCCCGGGCTGCCGTGCACCTCCCGGTCCATCATCATTGCCTCGTGTAGGAAGGTTACCACCATATAACTTCCTTATCTCCTCCTGAATCATCAACGACAAGCTCGAGGTTCGACTATCAATTTGTTCCTGCAACCTTTGATTTTGCTCTTTAAGTGCTACCATCTCCGTTGCGCTACTGCTACTAGTGCTGGAACGGCGAAGTTTGGAGGACGGATTGATCTTTCCTCATTTCCCGCTCGTAGTCACCAACTCCACAAATGCAGTTCTTCGCGTTATGGCCATCGACTAGCGAGTACCATATTTCCTTGTCGGTGACTTTAAGCCCATTCTGTCTAGCCTCCTCGCGCAGTTAGAAGAATTGGGCCTGCAATATATGATAGTTAATAACACGCAATAACAACGTAACAATAATAGCGTTAAGAACAGTAAGAACAACAACATAAACATCACTGCAATTAATTACCCAAATCAAAAGTTTGAAATTAATTAATAACGAGAAACTATTAGGAAGTACTCCGTAGTTTTTTGATATGCTTAAAAGTACCTGACTTTGCTTTAATTTGAGCTAGCTGTACAGCATGCATGGTAATCACATCATCGTCATCAGTTTTAGTTCACTTGGTTCCTTAAGCACAATATTTTTACCTGAAGTTAAACAAAACAAAAAAACACATAATTGGGCAAACAATAATCATTAAACCAACAGAAATAGATCCACGAAAGACATAATGAGTAGAGAAATAATGCTTAATTACCTCCACTTTTGGTTGCCCATGAGAGAATTTGCCAACCAAAATATATTTGTCAATGAGAGCTAATTGGCTGACCTCAGATTGCATAAAACGGAAAGCGGGCATGCCCCGATAGACGGTGACCTCACGATCGGGAAAAGGCTCCGTAAAAGAAGCTGGGAGTATGTTTTTTGGACTCAGGAGGAGGAGCTGGAGTTTCTGGAAATTGGCCGGTGGCCGCCGCCGCCGGAGCTCCGGTGACCGTCGCCGGAAAATTGACCAGAGCAAAATCGTGCGGGACCAACGCCAAACGAACCAGTTTTGCATGAGGATCACGAATATCCAGTTCTTTTTTCACAATTTTGCCTTGAACAGCACGAATTGAAGATTTTAGGCTCGGAAAAACCTTAGAATCCAAATTTGGGGGTTTCTTCAAATTGCCATCAAAAGCTGCAATTGAGGACTCCTTAAGGTGCGCTGAGATGCCAGAAAGGATTTGGTGGTGCTCTTCGACATCAATTTGATCGGTGGTGACCGGATTTTGCTCCAACCCGCCGGAAACCACCATGCCTGATCGCGACGGTGATCTGCTGATTCCGGCAACCAAAATTATCGATTCCGGTGGCGTCGGCTTCGTATTGACGTCAGGAATCTGTTGGAAGGAGTTTGGAGCTTCATCGCTGACTGTAGTGGCCGGAACAAAGTGCGTGTGGAGGGGGAGCCGCCATCTTCGACCCGCCGGATTCCAGCACTGTTTCCGGTGATATTTGGGTGCTTTGTGATCGTCTTGACATAAGGAAGACGATGGGAGGGTGTGCCTGGCCTGCCGCCGGCCATGGTGGCCGGAAAAACGAAATCGCCCAAAAGGGCGAGTTTCGGCCAGAGAGATGGTTTTTTTTTAATATTTGCTTCCATTTTCGTATGTAGATAGAAAAGACTATAACCCTATGTTATTTAATTATCTGCGACGGAAATACATTGGGTGCAGATTCCGTCGCCAATCTGCTATGGAAAGTGTATATCCGTGGCAAATAATGTTTCTTTTCCAGAAATTATTTTTCCGTTGCAGATCCGTTGCAAATCTGCTACGGATATGTGTCCGTAGCAGATTTTCGTTGCAGATCAGATAAATTCTTGTAGTGTGCATATGTTGTAATTAAGCTTTTAATTAATTTGTATAGTCTAAGGTGAAATACAATTAGAGTCCTTTTGTCTTGTTTTCTATTTATACAATTATACATGTAAGTTTTTGCCAGAGTGAATGATTTTAATAGAAATAGAATCCTCAAATTATTTGTTTTCTTATTCTTTTGTTACTATATTTATCTTCCTATATTATTTAGGAATCTATTTAATGTACTATAAATATTTTTGGAGACTTCATTATTCAATGAGATCTATATTATTTTATCAAGTTGTATTATGGTATCAGAGCAAAGATTCTCAAAAACCTACTCCCCAATTCGATCAAGCCACCGCCGCCGGTCTCTCTCTATTTCTTTGCATTGATGGTGGACCGCCGATCAAGACATGGCATCCATGTTCGACCCCCTTGCCTCTCTTCCTTCCGAACTGAAACTTTTACTCTGTAATTTCCACAATCTCATCCTCAAAAAACTCACTGATTCAAACTACCCTGCATGGTCTCTCAATGTCAGGACTGCTCTTGATGTTAATATCCTTTTTAGGTGCATCGATGGCTATGAAGAAGCGCCACAAAGAAAACCTCCAAGGAAGAGAAGGTAAACCCTAATCATGAGTGTATTACATGGTCTATGATTGAACCCAAATTTGTGTGTGCCTTCTTGTTGTTATTAGCCATACTATTCACAAACATGCTGTAACGCCCTAATCCGTCCAGGTCTGTAGCCCCTTCCGGACTAAAGTAAAAACTTGGTAATCGTAGAATTTAAAAAATTTTAAACAACTTCATTCATCATAAATAATATTCCATACATAACTGTAGAAAAAAACAGAGTGTTTAATAATAATGCGGAAGCGACTTTAAAGCATGTATCATAACAAACATAATTATTTATTTCATTCAATAATCCACCACGACTGTCTCGCCCCTTCTGCTACCAGGAATCAGCCAATCATTCATTCTGCCTACCTGCGTGTAGCAAATAAAACACACTACACGCTCAGCGATAAAGCTGAGTAAGCATATCTAAAGCGTCAAACATCCACATAAATTGAATCTCAATTCATAATCAACCATTTGATATCATGCACACGATATATGATTCATTCATGATATTCTCAATATTTTATTCCAAGTCATTTCAATTTTCAATATCTCAACATTCAACATTCATATTCAATATTCAACATTCATATTCAACAATATCCTTAAACTATTCTTATTCTAAGGCCAATTCAATTCTTAAACTTATTTTAGTTTAAGATATTCTTAACTAACCTTTAAGCTAGGCCTAGTTTAATATATGTATATTTTAAAAGGTTTTCAAATCTTAAACTTACCTTCATTTAAGGTCAACCAAAAACCGATAGCATAGCGTTCACTGTTGGGTTGGGTGGTACCCCGAAACGAGTAGGTACTCAAGTTTGATTCTTGGATCCCGTACGTACGTTTTAACCCTGGCCACCGGGTATCATACCCGCAAGGCCTAACTTAAATGGGTATATCTTAGAGTTCTTCTGGATACCCTTCAAAATCAACACACTAGGGGTATTTCTTAGAGTTGTTCTATATTCCCTTAACAATACATTTTTATTTCACAATCATCAATATATTCATTATGATTAAATCATTCATAATCAGAATATTCATTATCATAATCATTACTTAACAATAATCATCATATTATTCAATAACAAATAGTGGCCTAGCGTCGAGTGTTAAAATCCTAGCTTACCGTCATGCATCACATAAGATCCTTTTAGTTGTCAAAACATCATTCATATTCCAACAAATCATCTTTACATTAATCATAATTTATTGGTATCAAAAATAGGATTCCATAGTTCAAAAATCATGTTTTCTAATAATAATTGATTAATACTCCCTCTGTCCCAAAAAGTTTGTTACGTTTAAAAAAAACTGGGTCCCTTAAAGTCCGTTACATTTCTATTAAAAAACCACTTTTACCCCTTACTTTTTCATACCCTACCTATCACATCATATCTTTTTTCTAATAATCTACCCATCACATCCTACTTTTACCCATCACATCAAGGGTATTTTTAGAAAGTCAATACCAAAATATCCCTCCTTTAATTTTCCAAAAAGTCAAACCGTCCCATTCTTTTTGGGACGGGGGGAGTATATGATAAGAAAATCAATTAATAGCTACTGGTTTCATTTTCTTCAGCAGAGTATGGAGATAATCGATTATCACAGGTGATAATCCATTATCTGCCTTCAGTTCATTTTCAGAGGAGACTGACAATCGATTGTCAGAATGTGACAATCGATTGTTGTGTTGCTGTGTTCAAAAATCTACAAAACGTTGAATAATCAATTTTTAAGTTAATAATCGATTATTCATCGTCTTCTTCCTCGAGCCATTTTTCAGAATTGTCATTTTTAATAACCAAACTTCAATTAAAGTATATAAAAATGTTATCCAAGGTTCATGGATCATTTTGGCACCATTAATTCATAGTTTTAACATCAAATTTATGGTTTATGATTCTTAGTTCTTCAAGCATGTCAAACACAAAACTCAACCAAATGACCATTTATAAACGTAGAAACGACCTATATGAATATTCTAGTCATTAGATATATCTACGGGATTACCTCAAAGCTAAATGAAGATTCCGGTGAAAGAACAGCGAAACTTTCGGTGACAAATTAAAAGCTCTCAACTCCGGCGACCTCTCACTGAATTGGAAACACCAAAGTCTTCTCCTCACTCAGAGCAGCAGGATAGAACAAAATATTGAATGATTTGGTGAAGAAATGAAGAAGTTTGGTTTTCTTATATAATAGGAAGAAGAAGGAGACACTGGATGAAATTGTCGTGAATCTCCCAATCGGCTAGTGCACCGTTCACACAGTAGCGCCGTTTGATGTTTAGTTTCCTGATTGGGACTAATTTCTGGTCCTAGTCAGGGTACACTTTTTGGTCCAACTTTCTCCAAATAAGAATATGATTGAACCGTCGTAGTCAGGCAGACAAACTCTACACAACGATATAATTTTCATTATTGGTTGACAAACTTTATAATTCACTTATTTTTGGGTCCTTCTCGGTAATTAATTAATTATCAATTTATTAATTTTGATAGGCCTATTTTCGGGGCATTACACATGCTCAGGGTTTTACTACTTCTACGGCTCTCTCGGATGCTCTAGAGGCCCGATATAATTTGGTGTTGATCGATCATATTTATAACCAACTTCAGGACAAGCTCCACACACTTCGCAAAGGTACAAAAACTATGACTCAATAACTTGTTGAAGTTGCCACAATTCTCACAGATCGAGATGCCCTGAATGAAGAGATCCCTGAACAAGATGTGGTAAATGTTGCTATCCGCGGTCTCCCTTCTGAACACTCTGCCTTTAAGAAGATCATCCGTATGAACAACGAGAATATCAGTCTCAGTCAGTTTTCTGGGTTGCTCACCTCTAAAGAAATCAACTATGAGATATAAAACAAATATAGCCTGACTAATTCTGATTATGAGAGTACACACAGGGCTCTCTATTCTTCAGTCGAGGCGTGGTCGATGAGGTAGCCACAGTTGACTGTATGCTGGACTTGGGAATGGTTCTCCTTGCGACAATCGAAGTAACGGAAGCAGAGAGGGGTCGCAGTCCTCCACGTGATCTTATAGTTTGTAAAATTTGTGAGAAGCGTTTCAATTCTGCTGCTACATATTGGTACTGCTTTGATGATTTTTATAGTATGAATAACTCTTCCAACACATCCCGCGTTATGCATGCCGCCACAACTAGTTAATTTAGTGATTGGTATCTTGATATAAGTGCCAACGCCCATGTTATGCATGATCTCTCAGAGTTACAATCTCCTACTCCATATCATGGTACTAAAACCATCACTGTAGGTAATGGTCATAACTTACCTATAACGTAACACACTGGATCGAGCTATATCCATACACCCCGGAGTAAATATATATCACCTCCCATCCCTTAATCATGTTCTTTCTCTTACCTTTAGTTTTCTATATGTTCACCGCTTTACCAAGGATAATAACTGCACCCTTGTTTTTTATGCTAATAACTTTCAGATAGTGGACAACGTCACGAATCAGGTGCGATACACGGGTCCCTGTGAGCATGAATTGTACAACCTTCCTTCCAAGCCCATGTCCGTGGTGTGTCTAGCCGTTACAGCTTTTATGCGGCATCACAGGCTTGGTCATTCGGCTCATGTTATTGACAAATCTATCTTGTCATCCTTAGGGTTTAAATTCTCTGATCAATTACACTGTGAGTCATGTTATGTATCCAAGTCTTGTTGTTTACTATTTAAAATGTCTGAACATAAGGCAAATAATGCATCATTTCAATTAATCCATTCTGAAGTTTGGGAACTGACCTCTATCACATTTGTTTGTGGCTTTTGATTTTATATTATCTTTATTGACAATTTTAACAAATTCACTTAGATTTACCGACTTAAACACAAGTGTGAGGCATACTTAGTCTTTGTGAGCTTTGAAAAAATAATTAAAACTCGATTTAACTCACACATTTAGATTTTTCGAAGCAATAATGAAAAAGAATTTGTTAATACAGCATTTGGCCTTTTTCTTCAAAACCTGAGAATCCTCCATCACACCTCTTTTCATATACCCCTGAGCAGAATGGGGTCGCAGAATGCAAACACCGCTGTCTCATTGAGATTGTCGTTGCCTTGCTCTACGACTTTCAACTGCCTGTGTTGTTTTGGGTTGATGCTCTAGCTATTGCTTATTACCTCATCAACTCTTTATCGACTAGAAATCTGGACGAAAAAATCTCCTTTTGATGCACTGTATGGTAGTCCTCCGGATTACGTTCACATTCGGCCCCTTGGTTGTCGATATTGTATATCCATGGCTTTAGCCTCACACCCACCACAAACTCTTGTTGATCAATTCTCGAATATAAAATATAAATTAGGGATTTAATCATGTGTACCTGATAATCCTGTAAACGCAGTTAGGGATGAGGTCATTATTCTCACGCAGATCGAGTTCCCTTTTAGGGTGTATTGTTATGATGGCTAAGGTGAGGATGAGACTCACGAGAATAGAGAGGCAGAGAGGAGGCGTAAGATTGGTGTATTGATCTCTGCCTAATACCTCTATTTATATACACCCAAGGGGAAACCCTAATTAGGTCATAAGGGTAATTACGTCCATCGAATAATTACCAAATAAATACGTAGGGTATTTATTAGGTCAATGATCAATTAATTAGATAAATGATAACTCAGGCCACATAATAAAATCGTGTCCAACAACTCTAACCTCAATCTGCCCCATGTGCGTTTCTCGGTTATCCCCCTTCGATGAAAGAGACAACCATGCTATTTTGAATATAACCGGTTGACGACTTGCAAATGAATTCTCACCCCTCTAAATATATATTTTTTTAGTGCCAACAAAGGACCATAAGCCGCTGGGTATGGACTTCTAGACGAGTAATCGGGTTAAAAGGACCACAGACCGTTAGGTATACATTCCACACGGTCAACTGGGCCAAAGAATAGGATCACTAGAAACTAATTGAACGTTTAGACGGACACTTTAAAAAATGAAATGGGCTAAAACTGTCTCTGATACCTATTTGGATGGAAAAAGTACAACTGCATTGGGATACTAAATGATCAATTTCTAATTGAATATTAGTCACTCTTATATTCAATGCTAAGCCTATAGTTGGGTGAAAGTTACAATCAACAAGAGCTTCTACATTGTGAATAATACAAAGGAGACGTTTCCCGGCCATAGTGAATTGTGATTCAACCAAAAGATTTGGACCGATCGAGGCTTGGAAGATCACGCCAAATTCAAGTATTTCATTAATTTAATTAAATTGGATGTTTAAATAATATTGGTGGGGTAGTTGTGCGGGCGGGCAGCCGGGCAGGGCGGTCCAGGTTATATTTGCGGTGTAACTAACCCAACCGTCCCACATAATTGAAAAACATGCATTGCATGCATATTTCATGGAGGGTACTACGTATTTATCAAAAAGAAAAAAAAGGATAACCCCATCCCCGAAGACCCACCAGACGCGATCGGACGCACCGGTCACTGAAAAAATATAATTAAATTAGATTTTGATCGCAGATTAATAAAGTATATTATATCTCAAAACAATAAAATTAGGAGTATAATATATATGTATCTGATTTGTACATCAGATCAACACAAATACCGAGTAATACAAACACAATGCACAAAAACATAACATTTGTGTTTGTTTGGTGTATAAATGAGGTACACTATTTAGTGTAGCCCTATGGCGGCCCATATCAAGATGATGAATGCCACAAAATCGTGTTTGGCATATACGGAGTAGTTAAGTGCATGGATGGGTGTCCCCTCTCCTACCACTAACCCGGTCCCTTCCGTACTCGGATACGATATGATCTCACATTCTCGTCTAAGCTCCATCATATTTTAAGTGGATTTGGACAAAAAATCAAGGCTCATATTCACTACTTGAAGTCTTGAACTAACAACAAATTTTGTTTAATGCGGAGTAAATAGGTCTGTTTTTAGACAAGCCTTCAATGCCCAAATCCATGCATTTAAATGATTTACCGAAGAATATTTAGTCTAGTTTTATTTTTTTCAAGTTTAACTGAATGAACTTTATTAATTAGGTTCATTATACTATGTATTTGTGTTACATATTAATAAAATAAATTATAGCCCGGAGTACTTTTTTTGTCAAGAGGCGTAAATAAAGCATGTCAAGAGTTCCATAAAGTTTTGGGACGACCGGCCAGACGCCAATCAGCACGGTCATCCCCTTCGCAAGGCTGGGAGTTGACCTGGTAGGAGCCCTACCTCGAGGTACTGAGATGATATGCGTTAGGAAAATGATCTGAATAAAAAAATATAACGGGATCGAAACTCACTTCGGACGATCCTGTATATGGAATATCTCTCTCTCCCAACCATAATTTCTCTCTCTACTTCTCTCTCATCTTTTTAGTTCTTTATTCAATTTTTGTAATTCATTAATCCCCTTTTGGGGTTTGTCTTAAGTGAAGGTTAGAGCATGTCCAATGGTAACTCCCAAATCTTATTAGAAATGATGTTAAATTTTTCATGTAGAATTATATATAAAAAAAGGTAGGATTCCCCATAATGCTCTTATATACGTTTGAGGTGTTTGACACTTGAGTTAATGTAGTAATTCAGCACCTAGCTTTAAGTGAAGGTTTTGTATATTATGTTTGGCTCAAAGAGTTAAGATTGGAAAATAAAAAGAAAAAAATTTCTAGTTAGGTATGGCAACGGGTCGGGTTCGGGTCGGATAGTACTATACCTGAACCGACCTGACTTTTAAAACCGAAACCTGAAACTGACACGAAACCCGACTTTTTAAGCAAAAAGAACCCGACCCGACTCGAATCCAACATTTAAACCTGAAATCCGAACCCGAATCCGTAATTTAACCAATAATCAATTTGATGTACCCCAATAGTTTTAAAAAGATTAAGTTTAATTTTTTTGTCTCATTTTTTATTAAGGAATTATAAAAATAATTATAAAAGGCATACTCCGTACTTGATATAGTAGCACCTTCTCAAGAGATTATACGGAGTGATAGGCTTTTATGTTATACTCCGTAAAATTTTCGTGTTTGAGTCGGGTCGGGTGCGAGTTCAGATCGGGTTGAGTAAAATTATAAACCCAACCCGACCCAACCCGACCCGATGTTGGGTTTGGGTAAAAAATTTTAGGTCGGGTTCGGATTATTTTATTCTCGGTTCGGGTTCGGATATTTTAGTGATCGGTCGGGTCAGTTAAGGTCGGGTTCGGGTTGAATTGCCATCCCTAGGTCTGGTCTGATTATAGTTATATTTAAAGCTATTTCTGATCTGATTTGATCTGATCTTATTTTAGGAAAAATAAATAATAAGCTGGAAAAAACGTGAAACGGAACAAATCTGTCCTTGTCCTCATCAAAATAGAAATAATTTGTTTTTTTCTCATCATATCCTATTTTTCTTCTATTTTTTCTTACCTTTCCACTTTTCTTTTCCTTTCCTCATTAATCAAACAAGAAAAATTATTATTTTTCATACCATTTTCTTTTCTTTTCTCTTTCAAATTACTTGAACCAAATATCGCGACAAATTTTCGTTCACGTGGAGTGTGTGCTTTGCTGGTTGCAATAGTCTATCATAAAACAACAAATAATGTGGGGAAGGTTAAACTGAATGCAAGGCTAAATTCATACAAGCCTTTTAGCTCGATTAGGGAATAGGCAGCATTTTGTTTAGGCTACAAGCAATATAATAACAAGAAAAATGGTCCCTTCTTCACTGGAGAACCATATTTATAGACCAAACACAAACGTTTCGTGGCTTGTGATTACGTGCTTGAACGAACAAACGTCCAAAAAATGCAGGGACATTTTCCCGACACATGGTACGACCAGGACGAGTGTCCGCTTGTGATATTGCCGACCTATTTAGTCTGTTTCTTTGGGACGGGGAAAGATTCTTTGTGCCTTCGTGATCATTGGGATGCTCTGGTCAGCAGCCAATAGGCTTGGATTGGACTTGACTGATTCATTGGGATGCTCAGGTCAGCTGCAAATAGGGTTGGATCGATTGGACCTGACTGATTCATCATTGGGCTGATGTTGGGTCCAAGGGGAGACCGTCGATTGTTTAATGGTGTTGGTCTGGTTCATATGTTTGGACCATTATCCCAACACTCAGATCATATTGATGCCGACAAAACTGGAGTTGCAATCTGCAACTAAAAAAGAACAAAAAGAGAGAAATTATAAGAGATTCAAAGATTGAAACATCAATATCTACTCCAATTCAGTACTACCCTCCAAGATCATTTTTCAGTTATGATAATTGTGAAGAGCTTTCTTCATTAAGATGATTGTGAAACTCCCAGCGGTTGGAGTTCCACTCAGGCTAGCGGAAAACACACATACACCCGCAGGGAGGGGGGGGGTGGGGGCATGTTGGTTTCGAGGGGTTTAAAATTCAAACCAAAACTACCTTTAATTTATTTTCCAAAACTATTCTTGAATCCTACTGTATTCGGCAACTAGAAGCAGAAACGAATTGTAAAGCAATAAAATATTTCATGTTCATGGATTTGATGGAGAAATGAGCTGTAATGGGCAAGAAGGAATCATTAGAAACAAAGTATGTCCTCAGTCAGCATCGACATGCACATTCTAAGAAAAGAAAGCGAAACTTAAGCATGGATAGCCATATTTTTTCACCTAGAAACAACCCACGATTATATAATGATCTTTTAAGTACAATGATAGAGTAACTGTTAGAATATAAATAACTGTTCCTGGGCCACAACCCAAAGCTTGAGCTTGTGGTTGAATTGGTTCCTTGATATGGTATCGGAGCCTTGATGACCAAGAGGTCATGAGTTCGAAACTCACCGCCACCCAATTTTAAAAAAATTAAGGTTTCACGTGCAAGGCTCGAAAAAAACTACGCTTGCACGTGAGGGGGCGTGTTAGAATATAAATAACTGTTCCTGGGCCACAACCACAAGCTTGAGCTTGTGGTTGAATTGGTTCTTTGACAGTAACATGACAACAAACACATATATACTAACATCTAGGAAACAGAGGAATTAGTAAGAAATTACATTCTACTATTTTATGCATGTAAATGTTGCGTTAATAGAGTCACACTGTCATTATAGTATTGCAAGTCATCACATTATTGATTAACCTAAAGACAATTTAATTTCTAGATGAGGTGCAAAGATGATTATTTTACACATGTATGGAAGCCATTCACAACACATATGGTCAATACTATCAAGTCAATCTCAAGGTTAATGCCCACCTTCAAACAACAATTACTAAAAATCATACTCCATATTAGATAAACTCAGAAATATTTTAATGCAACGCAATATCTAGGATGAACTATGTCATTTCCCAATTAAATTGTATTTAAAAAAATGATACTCTGTATGTTGACTCTGCCATTCCCTTGATGAGACATAAATGCAATAATGTGAGCTCAAACATGAAACACCCTAGACATCATGGCCACCTATTGCCGATAAAAGATACTAATAAAAAGGCAGGTAGAAAGAGAAAGTCACTGGTGTGAGTGAGCTCCATATGATAAATATGATCAGAATCCAAAGCAAAAGATTAACCTACACACATGTGAAAGTAGGTTCCCATTTGCTATTCACATGAGAAAGTACATCATTTTTCTATACACATTTGCATTGAACACTGAAAAAGTGAAAGTCACCGTTTTTATTTTGTAGAACATTTGATGTAGTTTTTAAATACAGATTTTTTATTTTTATTTTATTTCTATACCAACTTTTAAATTTATCGAGTTGAAAACAAATTCATTCGAACATGACAAACCGAAACAAATACCTTATTGTGGGACAGAGGGAGTAATCTAATAATAGATGAAAGTGGATTGTGAAATATAACATCTATTCACCTAAAATATCGAAAACAAGTCAACCAAAAATCTTTTAAAAAATAAATCTATAATACTAAAAGAAAAAGCAATAAAGCGTGCATGTTTTGTTGTACAATTTTACCTTAATAGGTTGCTGCGGTTAAATACTTCAGAGTCGGCAGCCACCATTCACATGGTCAAAGTATATGATCTTTCCTCACTTATTGATTTCAATCATCTGTTACAATAAACTAGTCTTGTCACCACTCTGACCATTAATAAATATAATTTTAAATAAATAAGTGTCATAAAAATTCAAAATTGATACTCCCTTCGTCCTAAAATGATCTTTCCATTTTGGTTTACGATGTTTCACTGAAATTATTTTCAATTCAATTTATTTGATTATAGGAAAATTTAAGAAAAAAATTATATATTTTAAAACTACATAAAAAATTCTACAAACAAGAGGTGACATGACTATATTATTTTATCAAACAACTAACAAAAAAAAGTAAAGAAAGTGATTGAAGTTTGACCGCATGAATAGTGATTGGGAATATTATTTTAGGACGGAGAGAGTATATAAAAACTACATTTTGAAATATAAACCTAATTCTACTAAATTTACATTATACACCCTCCGTTCGGGAAATAACTTCCCAAATTCACTTTTCATGCTTTTTAAGGGGAGTTGAAAAAACAATGTATATTTCCATTTTACCCTTAATGAAAGTGTGGAGTATACTATATGAGGTGGGTGGGATGTAATAAATGAGGAGAGTGAAGGTAGTTTTGGTATTTCAAATGTTAAAAAAGGTATTGGGAAGATGATTTTAAAACGGCCAAAAATGTGATTTGGGAATATCATTTCCGAACAGGAGTAACTAAATAAACCTTTTTTACAATTTGTAGTCAAAGTTTGTAAAATTTGACCAAAGGAAGATCTTTTAGGGATGGAGGGAGTATAACCTTTGATGTAGTTATTAAAAACATATTTTATTTTTGAATCTTATACAAATATTCAAATAAAATGAATTGAAAATAACTTCAGTCAAAAATCATAAACCGAAATGTGATTTTTATTAAGGGACAGAGATAGTAAAAATATGCTTTAGAAGGACTCGAATGAAGCAAGAGTAAACAGCATACAAGTTTTTGTCCTCCCAATTCAGCTGGAACACCTTGCAAAATCTGCAATGACAAAATATGAAGCTGACAATTAAAAAAGCCTAGTTTTTTTTTTAAGAATCACAATAAGTCGTGTTTGTGTGCACCTAACTACTGGGAAGATTTTTACCTCGTGGCAGAAAATCGCAATATGGTGAGAGAACTCGAATATTCTCCATCAAGAAGTTTCCCAATGGTGAGGGCAAAATTGTTTATACTTCTGTATGCTCTAGAATTTATCTATGATCTAAGCCATATTTGCTCACCAAACAACAAAACTGATGCATGGACTCAGGGTCATTTCTACTACGCAAAGCATTGTGTATGACTGAAATAATTGTTTTGTCAGCAATGATGTCACTTGACAGCATCATACGAAAAAAATATAATGCGTCTTGCATCAAATAGCGTTTACACAGCCTATTAATAACAGCACTGTAATCTCTAATAGAAACTTTATATCCCTTATCTATCATTAGCTGGAATAGATCTATTGCTCTCTTTGCATCACCCTTTACAGAATGTGCTTTTACAAGAGTGGTGTAGGCTTGCTTTGATAAACTTATATTCTGATCTTGAAGAAAAGAGAAAAACATATCAGCAACCCTTATATCCAAAAATATGCACAGACCAGTAATGAGCATGTTGTAAGTTACATGATTAGGTTGAACATTATTCCTTAACATCTCATTGTATAAACAAAAGGCAATCCTCATATCTCCAGCTTGAGAAAACCCACATATGACAGTGTTGAAAGAGAGTTCATCAGGTGAAAGGCCCTTGGCAAACATATCCTTAAATATTTGAAGAGATTCAAGAAGCCTACCATATTTACAGAAGAATTTTATAATCACTGTGTAAGTAACACAATTGGGTTGTATGCCTATTTTCTCCATTTCGCAGAGCATTTCAAAAACCGCTTCCATATTTCTCTCTTCAGCATATGCTGTGATAAGAGTCGTAAAAGTTTCAACAGTTGGCACAAAACCACATGTATACATGTCATCAATCAGCTTTCGCGCCTTTACTAGCTCTCTGGCATTACAGAGTCCGTGTATGAGAGAATTAAATGTGACAGTGCTTGGTGTGATTCCTCTCTCCAATGTAAATCTGTATAGCCAGCGAACTTCTTTTAAGTCACCACACTTAACATATCTATTGATCATGATATTACACAAAACAATATCATCCATCAAGCCATTCTTTGCCAGCTCATCAAAATATTTTCTTGCAGCTTTTGGTGATCTGTACTCACATAGGCCGGACAAAATAGGTCTGTGTATAAAAGAATTCGGAATGATTCTCTTCGAGCACAATCTTCTATACAATTGCAGAGCATTGTGAATCCGACCTTGCTTACACAACCCTTGAATGAGAATGGAATACATGACAACATCAGGTTTTACACCACCAGCTTCTATATCCTGAAACAGGTTTAGAGCATCAACCATGAGTCCATTCTTACACAACCTGTTAAGCAACATGCTGTATGTGATCTCAGGAATATGAATCCCTTGTGTATGCATCTCCTTCATCAACTTAAATGCTTCATTGACATTTCCTATTTGACAATGTCCAGAAATTGATGTTGTGTAACTTACAATATCAGGGCGCATGCCTTTCTGCAGCATTTGATTAAATATTTCTGAACACTCGCTCATCATACCAAGAAAACAAAACCCTTTGGAAAGGATGTTATAGGTAACCAGATCAGGCTTCAACCCATGTGCTTCCATGTCGTTAACAAGCCTGGATGCTTCTGTTATAGAGCCGGTCATGCATAAACCATGAATAACAATATTGTAACTATACACATCAGGCAGTATCCCACACTTAAACATCATAGAAATAAATGATGTTGCAACATTCACAAGACCCATTTTACAGAATGCTGACATGATAGAATTGAAGCAAGCCACAGAAATAACAAAGTCTCGCTCTCCCCTATCCTGCAGAAATGCAATTGCTTCTTGCAGCATGGACTGCCTACATAGACCATCAATAAGGATGGAATTCGTATATTCACTTAAAGAAGCCCCAGAGTCTCTTATTTCATTGTAGACATGCCACAGAGAGTTAGTGTGCCTCAAACTGTGCAACAAATTATTGTATGTCATTATTGAAACGTCAACATTCAAATCTTTCATCTTGGATAAAACACGGAGAGCACCAACAACCATATCAGCTTTCAAATAAGAAAAGGCCAACATATTCCATACTACATTACAAGAAATGCAGTTTTCGAAGTTATTCTGAAGCAGATCACAAAGCGCATATGCAGAATCAGGGCCTGATGTGCATCATTAAAAAAACATGAACACGTATTTCATTCAATATTAGTTCATTTTCAATTTTTAAAAGTTATAGAAACGCGTTTTTAATACAGATTTGGGTAGCAGATGAATTAAAAAGAGCATTCAGAGTTTGGAATATTCACCCGAAAATTCAAAATATTCAAAGAAACAAAGGGATTCAGACTTGATGAAAGTACAAAGTCTAGTACCCACATCAAAATAGATTAAAGGGCTCACTACTAACTTAATTTCATCATCACCGTGTTATGCTCATTTTCCAGCATTCATCAGAATTCATTATAAAGAGCAACTAAATAGTTCCTCCCCTTCATCAGACTCGGAATGATATAACTTTGCGAAAGTCCTGAAGTTCTAACCAAATAAAATTTCGAAATTCCAAAAAAAATCCCTAAAAATGAAATTCAAGCACAACTACATACCTTCTTCTCTAACCATTCCCTGTAAGAGGGAACTCAGTTCCTCTAGTTGCTGCTTTCCCGCCAAAACATGAGCCACAATGAGGTGAGAAAAAACAGTTTGCTTGAATCCACGCTCCTTCGCCAAGAAGAAGAAGTCGACAGCCAACTGCGGCTTCTTGAGCCTTAGCAATTGAACAACATTCTCCACTTCAGAAGAATTCACCACCGATAGCAGGCCTCCAAATCTAGGGTCGCCGCATAATTTCTCGAAGGAGTATCCCTTCGCGCAGAGACCGCTGAGAAGAGAGACTAATTTTTGGACAGTTTCATTATTTCCGCTGGAGGTGTGTATTGATGAATCCTCGTAATCAAAGCCAAGGGCTGCGGCAGCTGATGCCGAGTTTCTACGGAAGATAACGGAGAGAGAGAATTGGTGTTTTAGGATGAATTTGATGGTTGACAGAAGCATTTGGCAGTAACAATCATGAAAGGGGCGGCACACATACTTAGCCCAACCGTTCTAACCAGCCGCCGCCGCCGCCGTCGGGAAAGGCCTGCTGCGGACGTGCCGTCGCTTGAAAGCACTTCGCCGCGGCGGAACTGCTTCAGACCTGCCGCCGCCTTTTGCCGAGGGAAGAGGAATATAACTCCCGCTTCCTGCACTTCCATGTACCTCCCTCCCTCCTAATGGTCAATCTTCTCCAGATCTGAAAAATTCAATATTTGGCTAACCGGTTGATCAGTTTCCTATAGACTATCATTCAAATTTAATTCGTATTTAATTGTAGATGTAAAATTCAATCTATTTAATTGTAGATGAAAAATTTAATTTTATTTTCAATTCAATTTATTTAATTGTAGATGTAAAATTAAAAAAGAAAACTTATATATTTAAAAACTACATAGTTCTACAAAAAAAGAGGTGACAAGATTATCTTATTTTATCAAATAACTAACAAAAATAGGAAAAGAAATTGATTTAAGTTTGACCATGTGAATAGTAATTGCGAAGATAATTTTAGGAGAGAGGGGTAAATTAAAATATTTTAAAGTCATACTAGGATACACTAAAATGGGGTACTATTTGTACACCAGGCAAACACAGATACTTAGTGTCTGTGATCACAGACACTAAGTGTCTCTGGTGTATGAATGGAGTACCTCATTTTGATGTATCTCTAAATTTATTCAATATCTAATTATTTTTTTGTGTCAAAATAATTTATATCTTTACATGTAGTTTTACAATTTCGGGATAATTTTTTATTTGTTTTTATGTTTATATTTTCTCTAGTTTTAAGCTTATTCATTGCTTGAAAAACTGATAACTGATTGAGACCTTGATTTACAAGAGCCTAAACAATGAAAGATTTGAGTGACAAACACTCAACACTAAACCCCATTTGTATCGTTTTATTTAAAACCGATGTAAATGGGATAGTTAATTTGACCCTTTTGTAGTAGTGGCGATAGGCAGGTGACATTGCTCCAATATTGTACGGTGGCAGTATTGTAGCCGCCTCGCATACCTAGGGTTTTTGTAAGGAGTCAGAGTATCGCTATGATATCATGTAGGATTTTACAATTGAATTACTTGCTTTCATTAATCACAAACTGAGTATATATACAAGAATATACGAGTAGAGGTGGCAATCGGATCAACCGGATCAGTTTCGGGTTGGATTTTTTCGGTTCGGGTATCTTTCGGTTATATGTTATAAGGGAGAAAGACTAAAGTAGGACTAAAACATTAAAAATACACCAAAATAGGACTTCCATGTTTTTATTCTCGAAATAGGACTTACATTACCAAACATGGTCATATACATTACCAAGAAAGCATAGTAATTTGCACATGTACACTCCCACATTACCACAATGCAAAGTCACATTACCACAGTGCAAAGTCCTATTCCAGGAAAAAACATGAAAGTCCTATTTTGGTTAGTCCTATTTAAGATGATTTCTAATGTTATTATAATCGGTTCGGTTCGGATCCGTTAAATTTTGGTTCGGATTTAATTTCGGGTCTATACATTTTTCGGTTCGGTTCGGTTTCGAGTCGGTTCAGATACGATTCGGTTATAAATTGGTCCGGAGAGATTTTGGTTCGGATACAATTTGAGTCGGATATATTTCAGTTTCGGGTTTAGTTCGATTCGGATATATTTCGGTTTTTGATCAAATATATTTTGGATATATATTATTTTCTAATTAAAATTTAACTATCCGTGTTTCTTTTTATGTTTTATCACATTTATCAATCTATCATCAATTCAATACCTCATATTATTTTATATATTTTTTTCTAGTTATATTATCTCTACCCTAAATAATCTTCCCTTTTTGACTTTTTAGACATATTTTACAAATTTGGACTACAAATTATGAAAACATATATATTTAGTTATGATATAAATTTAACATAATTAAATTGATTTTAAAATTTTGTTTTGAAATATAAAATTTTTCTCACATATACTAATATACTTATGTATATAAATGAAAGGATAAAATATAAATTCAAATGGTCTTATGTTCCATTTGAATACAATTTGGTAAAAATTGAGTAAAATTGGGTGAAATTAAGTGAATTTTATTCAATTGAGTGCAAATTTTGTAAATTATTGAGTATATTTGGTTGAAAGTAGAGAAAATTAAATTTAATAGAATCAAATATAATTAATTTTACACCTAAATGTAATGGTGTAGATCAAATTTGAAAATGATAATAGTAAAGGCTGCCGCTAGAGAGTCTTTTCAAAATGCTAACACTAGCTAGTATCTAATTTTATTAACTAATATTGAGCGAATTGGTTTGAAACTAATCAAATTAACTCTCAAATCAATAAAATTTATTGTAATGAGATGGAATTAGGATAAAATCTAATTATTCGATACAATTCATCATATATTCCTTTCGTCCCAAAAAGAATATCACACTTCACTATTTAAAAATTACGGAAATTTTATTTGTTTGTGCATTATCATTTATATGTATAACTTATCTTTAATTTCTACATTTAATAAATTTAAGGCATAAATTTTGTACTTTTTTTCATGAAAATAATCCATTTTATGAGGGAATGAACATGTAATGTAATTAGTTCAAATGGTAAAAATAAAAGTAAAAATTTAAAAATATAATATGCTTATTGAAAGGCAAACATAGTTCTGAATTTATAGATTTTAGTTCTAATCGGATTCGGATATTATGAGTTTCAGATCTAATCGGTTTCGGATTTTACCGGTTTCGGGTATTATCGGGTTCAGATCTAATCGGTTTCGGATTTAATCGGTTCGGTTATTATCGGTTTCGGATCTAATCGGTTTCGGATTTAAATCGGATATGAATTATTTAGTTCAGTTTCGGTTGAATTCGGATCATTTTGGGTCTTCGGTTATAGATCGGATCTTCATTTTTCGGGTCATTCCGGTTTCAATTTCGGATATTTCGGTTCGGGTAACCGGTTCCGGTTTTGTTTTGACTGGTCTATATACGAAGCCCAATACCTGACTACCAAACTCAAATAATACTCTGTAGTAGTCTAGTAGATACGAAGTATAAACGATTAATAAATATACTCCAATAATATCACTTTGGATGGAGACCCTATTTGGTTGGTGAGATGTGCATATTTTGTCAATAGTGATGCTACGGGTATACCAAAAGTGTGGTGTACCTCAAATGTAAAACACCCATTTTTCTACCACTCATTTTTATTTGTTTATTTCTTGTTTAATTTATTTGCCAATATATGTGGCATTGGAGGAAATGGTGTACATTTGGGGTTCACTTGGTGTACCCCTAACATTTTCTTTTGTCAATGTTCCATAATTGGAGCTCATTTATTTGGACTATCATAACTTTTAAAATAGGTTTTGACTTTTGAGGTCTTCCCATCAAGTTTAGCCCGATGAAGTTAGCTTTTCATTTGTTCAAAAAGAAGGAACGCCTTTGAATTTAATTTATTGATTTGTTACTTCTTCGTCCCAATTTTTTTTATAATTTGACTTTTTTATATCAAATTTTATAAATTTTGATAATAAATTGTTAAAAAAATATCACCTCCGTCTTAGAGTATTTGTCCACTTTTAACTTTTTTCAATCAAAATTAAAAAATTTTGATCACAAACTAAATAAAAATGATATTAGATATTGATAAAAAAATTTATTAGATTTATTTTATAAAATATTTTTAAAATAGTTGACTGCAAAAGGTCAAAACTGGACAAATACTCAGGGATGGAAGTATTATTTTTTGTTATAATGTTAATTTAATATAATTGATTTCATTTTAAGATACTCCCTCCGTTCTTGAAAACCTTTCTCTTTTCTTTTTTCATCCGTCCCAAAAAAAATTTCTCGTTTCTATTAAAAAGTCATTTTTATCTCTACTAATTTTTAACCTACCAATCACATCACATCTATTCACTATCAATCTACCCATCACATTATTCTTTTACTCATCAAATCCAAGGATATTTTTGAAAAATTAATACCAAAATACACTCCTTTAGATCTCTTAAAAATTAAAATCTCCTATGTTTTCACGGATGGAGAAAGTATTTTTTATTGCAAGACATAGTTTTAATATATTAAATTTTTCTATCATTTATTTTCTTAAGACTATACGGAATACTTATTCCTACGTAATAGTTTAAATGTTTAGCCGTTTGACAAAAAAATCAAATTATTAAGAATTATTGGGAACAACTGGAATATAATTAATAATGTAGTCACGTCATCATACGTTTTTTATTAAGTTTTTGATGTAGTATAAATTTAAAAATTTTATTTTAAAGTTTTGAGCTACTATTTGAAGAAACAAATTTGAAAAATAATTTCAAACAAATCATACTCCGTAAGTCTGAAACATTTTTCGGAATAATGGGATTGAGAGAAAGAGAACACTCCTTTGGTCCCTAAAGAAAAGGACACAACATTTGTCTTTATATATTTACTTTAAGAATTTGTAACAATAAAATACGGAGTAGTGTTGTTGAAACTTGTTCCATAGAACTTTACATTTATTTACTTTAAATATATAAATTTTATTTTAAAAATTTTACACCAACAATATAATTAAATAGATTGAATTTAAAATAAATTTCACCAAATATTGTATTCCTTCAACTTCTTCTTTACAAAAAAGTTTCAATATAAATCAATATACTTACTAAGAAAAGTTAATTATATGGTTGAATTGATGCAGAAAAAGAAAAAAATAATACTGGCCACACAAAGTTTTCTACAAATAGAAAATAGAACCTTTTTTTAAATGAACAATAAACGAAATATGAAAAGTATCTTAATCTAATTTTTTTAGAGGGAGAGAAATATTGTAAATGAAATTTATGTAGGAAGGGAGGGAGTATTACTTGTAGAATTTTTATAGGACTATATTTACGTAGTCAAACTATATTTTTTTCATTTACATATTTTCACCTATGATTTGATAAAATACTATCTGTATGACACTTGTTTTTTATTTTCTCTGTCTTAAAAATATTAACACGTTACACAAAATGAAGTAATATTTAAAGTTCTTAAATTAATTTTATACAAAGATTGAAAGGGAGAAAGTATGTTTATAGACAAAGTATTTTGAGTGCGAAATATTGGCTCTCCTCAAAAGTTAAGAAATACTCCCTCCGTTCTCAAAAACACTTCTTCTTTCATTTTTTCCACTTCCAACAAAACACTTCCACTTTCTATTAAAAAACCACTTTTACCCTTACTTTTTCATACCCTACCTATCACATCATACTTTTCCTCTAATAATCTATCCATCACATCTTACTTTTACCCATCACATCAGGGACAAAATTGGAAATCAACTATAATTTAACACTTCCTTATTTTTGCCCCCAAATCAAATGGGAAGGGTTTTTCCAAACGGAGGGAGTACTACGCCATGTCTATACCGGGCCATCCTTATTTTTTATTATAAATAATCAATCTTGATTGGCATGTAGTCCCCAAGTTTTTGATTAAACACTCATTTGATATGATTCTTTGATTAATCAATCAATCTTTAGCTATCTCCTTGAAGGTGCGTGTCCTTTAATTGTTTTGATTGTTTTATTTGTGTAGATTTTAATTTGTTTTTACCACTTGCATAGTTACTTTATTACTCATAATCATATACTGCGTACTTTATTAATTAGGTGAAGGAAGAAAATGTTCTCCAAAATGTTTCTTCCTATGATCCTCTCCTTACTAATTTTCCTCCAAAGAGTAGCAGTGGCATTGGATTTAGAAACAGACAAACAAACTGTTTTGGACTTGACTGTTTCTCACGGACTGGGGTGGAAGCCCGCCGACCCAATTTGTAGCTCTTGGACCGGCGTTTCCTGCAACTCGGACCGAAATCGGGTATCCGGGCTCCGACTGTCCGGCTTGGGACTCTGCGGTCCGATTCTGAAAAACACAACAATCGGAAGACTGGACGCGCTCGAGACGCTACACCTCGAGAACAACTTCCTGACCGGGCCCATACTGCCCGGTCTCGACCTCCTTCCGCGCCTTAAGAGCTTGAACTTAAGCAACAACGGTTTCAGTGGGCCCATCACGCCGTCTCTCCTAAAAAGGTTTCCTCCTTCGTCGTTCGGAGGGAACCCTTTGCTAGCGACTAGCGGGCTGCCCCAACGGGCAGTATCAATCCCCCGCTTGTTGTCATCGTCATTGTCAAAGGGATCAAGGGATTCAAGGAATAAGAAATCTGAGCCTGTGGGAAATGACAAGTTCCCATGGGTTGGCTACCTGCTTGCTATAGTGGTTGGGCTAGCTTATCTTGGTGGGCTATTGTAATAAGCCCATGGGTTGCCTACCCGCTTGTTTTACTGGTTGCGGTAGTTTATCTTTGGCCATGGTAATGAGCCCATAGGTTCAAATTTAAATATACCAGTTGTACTTAGTATTTGTATTGCTCTTTTGTATCCCTAAAAGATCGAAAAACTATCTCAAATAATTTCACATTTTCAAGTTCTTTCAAAAATATTCTCACTTTTCACTATCAGCGGCGGATTTACTTTGAAGGAATGGAGGGCATATGCCCCCAACAATTTTTTTTTTTTTTTACTTTTTCTGTATATTTGGGCCACTGCCCCCATCTAGAAATTAGAATGACCCCAACAGCCCAATAATCCAGCCCATTTTTTTTACTTAAGTTTAATTTTTTTAACCAACTAACATTTTTAGATTTTTCACAATTAAAGACATAAAGAAAGTAAGAAACCTAATCTTACGGAAGTGGGCAGTAGCGGCTTTGCGGCTGTGGCGATCTTCCATCTTCATCGGCTATTTGGGGCTACCGAAGCTGGAGAACGAAAGCAACGATCTTCCATCTTCATACGTTCGTTCTTAATCATCATGGCATCGCCTATTCCCCTTCATCTGAAATTCGGAATCCTCATTCGATCGGTGAGTTCATAGTCCTATTTTCAGTTTATTAGTATTTTATTTCTTAATTACTGTTAATTCCTTATATTAGGATGTTAGGTTCATGTGTTAATTGTTTAAGCTTAGGGTTAAATTATTTGATAATATGTACTACGTATTATTGATGTTTTAATTAATTGAGGTAAATAGATTTTGAATAATTGAATCCATGGAGAGCTATTAGTTTGAATTGTAATTTACTCCATCAATTTTGAATTTTTGACAGATACATTATGGAGAGATTTTTCAAAAGGAAATTTTCATCTTTACAAGAAAATAAAAGTGATAGTGGACCTTCAAATGGAAGTATGCCTCTTTCTGTGTCTGAGTGTCAAGTAAAACAAAAAAGAATCGATTTGAATGATTTGCCCTTTGATCCTGCTGAAAGGTTAAAGATTAGTGACTATCATCCTAATCAAAGTGATGAAACAAGGCGTGCATATTCGTTGAAAGGACCTTGTCAACCTCTAGACCATAGCTTCCCTTCAAAACAAATTGGGGAAAGTTCAAGGAGATTCAATCCAGATTGGTTCAAAAAATATCCAAAATGGTTAGAGTATAGCATTAAAGAGGATAAAGCATATTGTTTGTGTTGTTATTTATGTAGAGATTATCGTGAAAATAAATGTGGAAGTGATGCATTTGTAACACATGGTTTTTCATCATGGAACAAAAGTGAGAGATTGGCAATTTGGCATCTCATGTTGGTAAGGTCAATAGTTATCACAATGAAGCACTTAGAAGATGTGAGAATTTGATGAAACAGAGTCAATCAATTGAAGTTGCACTTCACACACAATCAGAGAATGTGAAAAATGAATATCGAATCCGTTTGAATGATTCAATTATGGCTTGTAGATTCTTGTTACGATAAAAACTACCATTTCGTGGTCATGATGAAAATGAAGAATCAAGTAACCGGGGAAATTTTCTAGAATTATTAGCATATACCGGTGAACAAAATGAGACTGTGGGTAAGGTTATACTCCAAAATGCTCCAAGGAACCATCAAATGATTTCTCCGACTCTAATAGATCAGTTTCAGAAGATGAAAACTCGAAGAGGGCAGTTATAATTTTTTCATATTTTATGCTTTGATATATTAGAATTGTAATGTTTAATTTTATGTATTTCAAAACTTGTGTTTGTAATTTTTTGGTCTTTTACTTTATGTTATGACTTTAAGTCTTTAATTATTGTGCCCCCAACTCTTCAATTTTCTGGATCCGCCACTGTTCACCATTACTGGAAATAATTCCACATTTCTGCATGTGTGCGAGTTTTGGATCGCCGTTAAAAAATTAATGGCCACTTAACGGAAGTTTTAGAAAAATCATGTTTTTCTGCAAATAAATGAAAATTTAGATTATTTTTGGCAAATTTACTTTTTACTTTTTTTAATTTTAAATTTAGAATTAATATTTTTAAAAATATAACAATACACTCTTGTTAGAGATTTGTCTAACGATTTACAAACTTTCTTTTCTGTTCTGGAAAAATATAATATTGCAATACAAAGAAATTGAAATAAAAAAAAAAAATTGTAGTGAGTTACAAAATTTATTAGTGGCGTTTCGTAGAAAAAATATTGTACCATTTTCACAACTTTTGAATTACTATTTTGGGGAAAAAATTGTACTGAATTATAAAAAAAATCACAAATTAGGTAGTTCCATTTTAGAAAAAAATAATATAGGCAATAGAAGATTATCAATAAATATTTCAGAGTATTGTTCATTAAAAATTGAAATACAACAGAAAATATAGTGAGTTATAAAAATAAAAGTTCTATTTCAGAGAAAAAATTGTTGTGTTATTTTCACAACTATTGTAATGTTATTTTGCAAAAAACATTTATATAGAACTATCGAAAAAAATTCATAAGTTTTGTATTGCCATTTCTTAAGATATAATAATATAGTATTAAAAAACAATTCGAAGTGCCGCTCAAGAAAAAATAATTGCAACTTACAAATAAATGTAGTTAATTATGAAGTAAATAAATTAGCTATATTGTTTAGAATAATTTATTTTCTAATTGTTACCAGTTTATTGATTATTGAAAAAAAAATAGATTTACTCTAAAAACACTTAAATTGGTATTATTTTTCCAAAAAATAAAAATAAAAATAAATTTATGTCTAAAGTTAGAAATTAAAAAAACAAAAAAGATAGAATTGAACTAAAATAATCACACCTTTCATTTATTTGTGAAAACGAGCATTTTTCAAAAATTGCGTTAAGTGACCGTTAATTTTTTAACGGCGACCCAAAACTCGCACACATGTGGAAATGCGGGATTATATTTCCGGTGACAGTGAAAAGTGAAATTATTTTTGAAAGAGCACCAAAAGATGAGATTATTTGAGATAATTTTTCTCTAAAAGATTACCAGAATTTGATTTTTTAGTAAAATTGTGGCATTCTTTGATTGTGATTTATGGAAAAGTATAACTTATAAGGTAAATTTAGTAAAATTGGGTTTATTTTAAAATATAGTATTGAAATATCAAATTTTTATAATATTTAATTATTTAAAATTATATTCAACTTATGGTCAAAGAGTGCCCCAATTTGACCAAGAATTTTAAATTGTAATAATCTTTTAGAAATAAAGGAAATATATTTAAACATTCAAATTTGAGTCCTCATTCGACTACAAATCACGATGCAGACTAAATATTTTGCACCTAATCTTAGTAGTTGTTATAATGTTATTGTTTCCAAGTTTATAGTTTTATGCATACTTCATTTGTAGAAATTACTCTAAATAAGACTAAAACATAAAAAAAGTATCAAAATAGGACTCTTATGTTTTTTTTAGCTCGAAATAAGAGTTCGCACTGTGGTAATATAGAGATAATGTGGCATTATACACGTGCACATTACTATTTTTTTGGTAATGTACATGACCATGTTTGGTGATGTAAATGTATTTTAACTCTTATTTTGGAAATAAAAACATGGAAGTCCTATTTTGGGTATATTTTCAATTTTTGCTCCTACTTTAGTCTTTTTCCCTATCATTTGACTATGTAATATTCCCTCCGTCCAACAATAAAGATCTTGTTCACTATTCACAGGGTCAAACTTTATTCATTTTATTGGCTTATTTTTGTGTCCTACTTGATAAAATAATATAGTTATGTCACCTCTAGTTTTGTAAATCTTTTCATGCAGTTTTAATATATGTAATTTTATTTTTTAATTCCATACCATTTTCATATAAAATAATTTAAAAATGATTTCAATCAAGCATCGTAATGCGCAACGAGAACTTTATTATTTATGGATGGAGGGAGTATTTCCGCGTCCTAGAAAGATTTTTCTCTTGTAAATTACAATGATTTGCTGATGGTATTTTCAATACAATTTACTATAAAATTGGTATTATAAAGATCCATACATTTAAAAATTAAAAATATATTAAAAGTTTTACAAAAAAAGGACTAGACTGTATTATTTTAATAAATAAATAATAAAAATTGAAAATAAACAAAGAAATTGATCAAAATTTGATCCTAAGAATAGTGAACATGCATGAAATTCAGGAGTATAATTATTTTAAGGGGTCGTTTGCTACATGGAGTTGATGGAGAAAAATTAAATTAGAATTCAAATTCTATGGAATTGAATTGAATGGAATTAAATTTTCTAATTCCAATTCACTTTTTACACTACCAATTCTAAGTTCACATATTTTTGTATTATCAAAATGCAAGATTGAAATTATAGTTCCCAATTCAATTTCATAGCTAAAATTTTGTATACCAAATGAAGCCTAAAAGTGTGGATTTCATATTGTATCTAGGTAGTGATGTACTCAATTCATCTTAGTATATTAAAGTAATTTAAAAGTAGACGAATTTAATCATCAATTACTCTCTACTTATATTACATTTTAAAAGATTCAAATAAAATTATGCATGTTCTCAACAATTTAAACACTATAAAATACGGAGTAGTTTGTATACTACTCCCTCTGTCCCCCAGTTTTTGTCCACTTTTGACTTTTGGAATTGTTCATCTAAGTACTTTGACTCATCAAATTCTCTCAATGCGTAAGCCTAAATATAGTCATTTGTGATCTTGTTTGATTTGTATTAACATATAGATTATTAATATATAATTTCTATAATTTTTTAATATACAAATTACAAGATAAAATAGATTTAAAAAGTGCATTGGATGGTGTGTAAAAATGAAAGTGAACAAATACTCTAGGACGGAGATAGTAATACATATTATGGAGTAATTTTTATTAAATTGAAAAGATGATGCTTGTTTGACATTCAAATACTTAAATTTAAAAATGTCATATTGTCAAAACAATGAACATCTAACAATATTAGGTGTTTTAAAGTTGGGCATTCCTATGCGAGTGCACATCTTGCACACCCTCAAGATAAGCCCTATACGAAGATTAAAACCTACATTAATATAAACAAATATTAAGTCTACATTATTTACATTTTTAATGCTTTCCAAAATTTATAACAAACAATTATTTAAGAATGGATAGATTATAATATAGTATGAATCAATGTCAAAAAATATTATGGTCGATTGGTATCACTGTGACTTTCGAAATAGCGTTTTGAATGTTCAAACTCCAATGCGATGTTGATTTTTTGTTCTGCAATAGGTTGAAAAAGTATGTTGGACAGATAATATATTGTAGTAATATTCTTTTTAAAAAAATATAATATATAAATCAATTACATTAAAGTCAATAACTTCGAAAACTAATCTACAAATTACTCCATTTAAGTGAATATGGGGCTTAAATGAAGCCAAAAGTCAAGAAGAATAATTTACTTCAACACAATTTCGGGCTTTTGCTCCCTCTCAAACTCTCACGGCCCCCAATCTACTTTGTCCTCCCCTCGTAGCTTGAGCAAGGAAAGCCAATTGCCAAAGGGAGTAAATCTAAATTTGATTTCTAACCGCTACACTAGGAGATAATTATATTAAGCATAAAGCTTCTACAAACAAATGGTGCAGGCTCCACACTTTATTAGTCAATCTTTAATTATAGATTAATTTACCTTCTCTTAGATAATTGTTCGATCAATTCTGAAAAAAGCCAGAGACTCATCATTTTTTAAATAAATTTGTCCCTTACAAATCAAACCCTACACTAATTTCATTTCTTGGACATCATTCTATTGTAATTATTTCATGTTTTCAATCATTAGATGTCTCATACAGAAACAAATCAAGGAATATTGCTCTTTACTCTTTAGTGTGGTTAGGAATAAAATCAATCTTAGACAATGAAGACATTAGAACCATTGGAAATCCCAGATTGCTTCTACCCAACCAGCCCAACTTTGATCCCTCCCACCACACCAACACCATCTCACTCTCTTTACCTCTCCAACCTCGACGACCAGAGCTTCCACAGATTCGCAATCAAATACATCTACGCGTACCGCAAATCAGTTGACATTGAGAGGCTCAAGCTCTCCCTTGGACAAGTTTTGGTCGAATATTACCCGTTGGCCGGGAGGCTGAGGAGAGCATGCAGCAGCCACTATGAAGACAAAGATGATGATGATGATGATGATGATCAGAAGAACCAGAAGCTGGAGGTGGACTGCAATGGTGAGGGAGCCGTTTTTGCTGAGGCTTTCGCGGATTTTAGCGTTGATGAGTTTGTTCAGGCCTCATCAAAGCCAAACAGGTCTTGGAGGAAGCTCTTGTACAGAGTGGAAGGGGCAAACTCTTTCTTGGAGACTCCTCCTCTAGTAGTCCAGGTCAGTTTGATTGATCTCAAATGGGTGATTTCTTCTTCTTGTTTTTAATCACCAAATGGGTGATTTCTTTATACTTCTTTCGTCTCAATGTATTTATTCAGTTTCATTTTTTCAAGTCAAATAGGATGGATTTTGAGTTTTGATTAAATATTAAATATATATTTTGTGAAATTTGCACTAAATAGGACTAAAACATAATGACTTTCCTAATCTAAGACTTAAACTTTTTTATTCCCTAAATAGGACTTATTAATGTCTTAGTGAGAGAAATAATGTCCAGTAATGATGGATATTTACTTCAATAATGACTATTTCATAATGACCTAAAGTCCTAAATTGGGAAATAAAAACATATGGTCCTATATTGGGAAAGTCATTATGTTTTAGTCCTATTTAAGTAAATTACTCATATATTTTACTTAGTAAGAACTTTTAAAATTGTACTACTTCCGTCCCAAAAAGATTTACACATTTTGACTAAAGTTGAAATTAAGGGAGAGATAATTTTGTGTTGACTTTCCAAAAATACCCTTGATGTGATGGTAAAAGTAGGATGTGATGTGTAGATTATTAGGAAAAAAGTATGATGTGATAGGTAAGGTTTGAAAAAGTAAGGGGTAAAAGTGATTTTTAATATAAATGAGTAGGAGATTGTGGGACACAATTTTTTTGAAAGATGTAAATCTTTTTGGGACGGAGGAAGTATAAATTTAAAGTAATCAAAGCTTAAAATTTGTCTAGTTGAATTTCAGAAAGTCAAACTAGACAAATACTCCCTCCGTCTTAAAATTAATTTCCTAGTTTGATTTTTGCAGTCAAACTTTTTAAACTTTGACCGTAGATTAAGGAAAAAATACATTGAATTTTCCTATAAATTTATTAGAAATAGATTCATTTTTGTGCAGGTTGAGCCGGGGGTCTCTTGGAAACAGCCTCCCTACTTTCGAGTAGGGGCAAGGTCTGCGTACACACACCCTCCCCAGACCCTACTGTAGTGGGATTCAACTGGGTTGTTGTTGTTGTTGTAAATAGATTCATTTTGGAATATAGTTTTGAAATATATAATTTTTATAAAATATATTTATATAAAAATTGAGATATTGATAGTCAAAGTGTCGCATTGGAGACCGTGAAAAGTTAAATGAGAAGTTAATTTTAGGACGGAGGGAGTACACTAAACGGAGATAATAAATCTCAAAAGATTCAAATTAGTTCCAAAATGGGTGAAAAATGAAAAATTTGTTTATGAGAATGTGTAAATTTTGAAGTAAAAATTCTACATTTTCTTACAGGTAACGAAACTACGGGACGGGGGAATGATCCTCTGCACAGGGATCAGCCATTGCCTGTGCGACGGGATCGGGACGGCCCAGTTCTTGCAGGCCTGGGCTGGATTCGCCAGAGGTGAGACGGATTCACCAATCAGGCCATTCCACAGCCGGTGCATGTTGAAGCCCAGCATGCAGCCCAAAACAACGACATCATCTCACCCCGTCTTCGTAAAGGCTGCCCCGGAGAAGAGGTGCGATCCCCAATCAGCCCTCGACATCTCCAAATATTTACAGTCCCAGCCACTCGCCCCTGCTTGCGTCACCTTCTCCCGGTCTCAGATCCTCCGCCTCAAACGCCGCTGCCGCGTACAGTCCACCGGCTTCGAGGTTCTAGCGGCCCACACGTGGCGCTGCTGGGCGAAATCGCTCGACCTGTCGCCGGCGAAGCTCCTCTTCTCCGTCAACGTCAGGAGACGGCTGAATCCGGAATTGCCGCCGGGGTACTACGGGAACGGGTACGTTTTGGGATGCGCGGAGGCTCCGGCGAACGCAGATCTTAACGACCTGGTGGCGTCGATACAGCGCGCGAAGTCCGCGCTGACGGACGATTACGTCAGGTCCGCCGTCGATCTGCTGGAGGATAAGTCGGCGAGGACGGATCTGTCGTCGTGCCTGGTGATTTCGCAGTGGTCGAAGCTAGGGTTAGAGGAATTGGACGTGGGAGAAGGGAAGCCGCTGTGGATGGGTCCTTTGACCAGCGACATATACTGCCTGTTTGTGCCGGTGATGGGTGACTTGAACGGCGCTAGGGTTCTCGTCTCTCTGCCGCAACACAGTGTCGCTAAATTCGAATGTTACATGAGGGAGTTTTTGGAGATGAAACCCGAATGAAAACGCCATTGAAGTGGAAAGCATGAAATTGTTTTCACCTTTGACGAATCTCTTTCTCCATTTTCTCTTGTTGCCTTGTTGGGCTGCTCTGTGTATGAATCCTGACGTCCCCCGTTACCACTCCCTAGTCCCTCCTTTTTCTTGTTAGGGCAACTCACGAAAATGAAATTTGTATTATTACGTCCCAAATTATAATGCATGTTTACTATTCACAGGTCAAATTTCATTCACTTTCTTTCACTATTTTTGTTAGCAATTTGATAAAATAAAGTATTATTGTCACTACTAATTTTATAGATCTTTTGATGTAGTATTTTAATATGTAATTTTTATTTTTTAACTCTATACCATTTGTTATATAAAATGATTTGAAAATAATTTCAATCAAACATCGTAAACCGAAACATGCATTATAAAATGGGACAGAGGGAGTACTAAAACATGTTCATTTACATGTTCTTTCCCAATGTTGTATTTAAATTTTTTTATTCTCTAAATAATACTCCCTCCGTCCCCAATTAGATTACAATTTTTTTCTTTCTTCTCTCGATAACTTTTGTTTGTTTGCGCGATTTCATTAAGTATTTGATAAAATAAAATATTCTTGTCACCTCTTATTTTGTAGAACTTTTGACGTAGTTTTTTAATATATAATTTTTATATCTTATTGATATACCAATTTGTAAATAAAATGATTTCAAAAAGTGAAAATTTTTTCTCCGTAACCCAAAATTTGTAATCAAATTGGGGATGGATGGAGTACTTGAATAATGTTTAGTAGCGAAAACAATGTTCATTTAGTATTATTTAAAAAAAATTACTACTCGGTATGTTTTAGTATTATTTAAGTAAATTCCTACTTAAAAAAGCATGGATAATGGGTGGGAGTAGTCTCTGTCCATGATTATAAAACTATAATACTCTAAATAAAGATTTTACTTTTCAATCATACCTCATGCGGTCATGCCCTTAGAGATGTTCTTATGCTGGGAATCTTGGGATACTTTGATAGGCAATTATATATTCATAGGATGTTAGAATATTGCTAGTATATGTTTTTATTTTTTAAATATTTCATATAAAAAAATCTTTAATTTTCTTCCTTAAAAGTCTATAGATTTTTTTAACTAATAAAAAAAGTCATTCACAAAAATCTTAGAGGAACCGTTGCACATTTATTGGTCAAGTTCTCATACTGAAAGTTGATTGATTTCCCTCGTTACACCATTTCTCAACATCCATTTTAGATTCTCAATCAACTAATATTTCCGGTAGATTCACCTCAGATTTACAACCGAGCTCTCACATTATCGTTGGAAGTGAGACACATCTGAAATAGGTCCAACCAAAGAGCTTGTACCAAATGGCTAGAGGTTCATTGATGGAAAAAATCTTCACCTCGCCTCCAAGGTGAATAGGGTTGTTCATCGATCCAAGACCGGACCGGACCGAACCGACTCGGACCGGACCAAAGACCGAATTGAATAAAATCACGGATCGAAGACTGGACCTAAATCTATTCGGGTTTGGACCAGATCAGACCTAAATACTTAAGACCGAACCGGTCCGGATCGATTGGACCAAATAAAAATACATATTTTTTAATTATTTTGATCAACCAAATACTCATATTTTAGGCTTTTTACTTTGTACCGTGTGATGGTGTAAATTACCACGCAAACACTAAGTAAAAGTAATCGGAAGGGCTGTAAGTGGAAACACCTGTAACCCGGTTTGTTATTGATAATGCTGGGACTATTACAAAGTACAAGCCGTGTAGGTTTATTAAAACATACCTCACAAATGAGGATTTTAGGGGTATTTATAATAAAGCTAAGCACGTCAAGCACGTCTCTGGTTATCCAACCGGTCAGCCTTCTGACCGGTCTCATAGAGCACCTGGAGAGCCCGGTCTGAGGAAAGTGCGCTCTGCCACTTCGACCACCACCCAGTCGGACGAACCAACCGGGTGGCATCCATGGGTATTTACCCATCAAGGAGTCCTCCGATTCCCGGTCCTGTGGGGACCATCAGGAGCGAGAAGCACATGCGATTATCTTTTGAAATTTGAACTGCCCAGTCGCTTTTTGGCGGGAAAATGGCCTCGGAAAACCAGCTCCTAACCCAAAATATTTGAAATTTGAAATTTGATTTTTGAATTTTCAAAAACCGGGCGTCCAAAGCGGGAGAATCTTCCCGAAATCGGGTTCAGAGCCGCCGATTTAATGTGCCGTTTCGTCTCCCCGAGAGGTTATGATGGCAAATCATTTCAGCTGCCACGTGTCATTTTCTTATTCGCCCGTCTGGGCGGCATCTCTCCTATATAAAGCGTCGTTCTCCTTGGAATTTCTTCACTTGCAAATCTTCGATTCAAAAAACTGCCCGGCTTCTTCTGCTATTTCCGAGTCCTCCGAGTCTTCTAACCGTCTCCAAGTAAGTCTTTTTTTCCTTCCCTTTCTGAGTCATGTCTGACCGTGAGGATAGCCAGAACCCGTCCGTTCACTCCTATGGTTCTGGTGGCCGATCCCCAACCTTCGGTTCCTCTTCTTCTTCCTCCTCTGACTCTGAGCACCCGGCTACTTCTCCACAGAAGAAGCCGGCCGATGCTTCCACTTGCGCTCCCTCTTCTTCCGTGGCGCATGTGGTCTCGACTACCCAGTCCGGGGACGAGGGTTTCATCCAGCTGGACGACCGGTTGCTCCAGGAGCAACCGTCGTACATGCAGAAGCCCCAAGTCCACGAACTGCGTAATCTGATGCCTGATGGGTATCAATTGACCTACCGGGCAACGTGGAAGAGTATTTTACCTCTCCACGCCGGCACGTCGATTGGTATCCATTACCATTCGATCAAGGACCTGGGTGAATTCTCTATTCACCCATTCAATCAGGAAAAGGAACTCTGGATGCCCTAGTACGGGCCCGTCGACCGGGGGTTACCAGTGGCAAACAATCCGTCGAAGTAGTTGCAGACGGCCAAAGAGGCATAAGGAGAGAGGGAAGCTCTCTTTGACTACATGTTCGATGTCCGGCCCGGGTCCAAGGAAACCCTTGGATTCGTGGTGGTGTCTTCCCACCAAGGCCGGGCATTCCTTTGTGGCCTTCCACCCTTTAACAAGAAGTGGAAGGACAAATATGTCTGTGTTAAATTCCCCCCGACTGCCTTTCCTTTTGCCCAAAACGTCTGGGGAAAAAGGATGAAGCGCCAGGTCAAACCAGCGGAGGCCGACGACCTGGTTGCTTGGGAAGCCACTCTCCGGGCCGGGGACGCCTCCACCCGCGGTCTGTACCACGTTGGGAAGTGGAGCGTCTACCCCGGCCGGGAGACTGATCCCGAACCGGAGATTGTTCTGCCCGGGGCGATCCCCGAAGCCATCCCCATCCGCCTGGCGAGGGGATCCAAAGCCCCGGCCACTACAAATGCCGGTCCTTCACGCCCGGCGAAGAAGAAGAAGGAGAAAGGTCAATCAACCGCCCTTCTCATTTTTCATTTGAATCAATTTGTTCTCAACTTCATTCTTCTAACCGGTTCCATTTTTGTTTCAGTGGTGAAGTTCCAATCCAAGTTCGCCGTCCCAGAGATACTGCTTGAGGAGCCCATCACTGCTCAGCCCATCAACCCTCCATCCAGCCAGCCCTTCTCCCTGGAAGAGCAACCAACCCAATCCCATCAGGGGACCAACCAGCCCATTCACTCAGGGGATCTCTACATCAATGTAGATACCTTCGAGTTCGACACCCTGATGGGGGAGGCCGGGCACACATCCCAAGCTGGGAGGGCAGGCCAGCCCAACGAGGAGGGCGAAGCCGAGGAAGAGGTAGCTGAGGAGTCTCTCCAACGGAAGAGGCGGAGGACCGAAGAGGTCAACCAGCCAGCTCACCAAAGCCCCAGTCCTCCGACGCCAGCAAGGGGCCCATTGTGCCTCGTTCTGGGCTCCTGATGTCCCGGTCGAACGAAGAGCTTTTCCAAGCTTTTCGGGCCGACCTGAATGAGGTAATTCCCCTTTCCTTTTCCTTATTGTTTTTGTTTTTTACTTGTCTGAGAAACTCTCCATGTCTTTAAAGCAGGTCGGCCGGATCGGGGAGGAGTACTTTGCCCGGCTGGTGAAGTCGATGGATGAGGAGAAGGCCCGGATGGAGGCCATGATGGTCGAATGCCGGAAGGAAGCCCAGGCTGCCCGGGCCAAGGCAGAGAAGATAGAGGCCAAATGGACCGAGCACTGTGCGGTTTACCGCCAGCTCTATGCCAAGCACGACGGTCTCCTCAAGGCTGCAAAAGAGGCCGACGAGCAGGCTCAGGCCAAGATCCAGCAGCTGGAGGCCGAGATCGCCCGGGCTGCTGAGGAGAACCAGAGGCTAGGGGATGAGAACGCCCGGTCTGCTGAGGAGATCGCTCGGCTTAGCGATGAGCTGCAGAAAGAGCAGTCGGAGCGGGCCGCCGTTGCCGCTGCCTGGGCAGCTCAGGCGCCAGAAGAGTTCGCTGCCGAGGCCTTGCCAGACCGGGAGACAGCCAT